TTCTTTTAATTGGAAAATCCAAACAAACCGAGAAGAAACAATGTTTAGTGTTTACTGGTCATGTATAAAAGATTTCTTAATCCAAAGTAGATTCATTCAAACCCTTGACACAAATTAAAAAAAGATGAGAATCTTTCTTACCTTAATCAGCGAGTGTTTCTTCATTAAAGACATTTGGTCCGCTAAAGTATGACAAATTCACTAGAGTACGCAGTCATAACACTGACAAGACCTCAAAAGGCCGAATCTTTGGCGTTGAAAGGACTGCTTTTCGCTCAATGGCAGTGAGAATTCGTCGCCGATTATTAGAAAATAAGAAGCAAAGGATTAATACCTTGCAGCCCCTCATACTACAGACTAATTAACACTGAAAATGTTTTTTATTAACGGCTTGATTCAAATACTGCTTGTGACGTAACCACTGGATATTACTCTCGGGACTAATTACATGAATACCCTGAGAGCAAGCTATATTATTAATCAAAATCACCACAGACGTTTGGGATTTGCATTGTTTCTTTGACAATGATGAATGCGGGCGTGGCTAAAGTCAATAACAGACTCACCCACGAGACCGCCCGTCGTCACTATAGATACGGAAGAAATAATAGTGCAATAAATGGTGATGACGATACTGCTGATGATGATGACGGAAATAAGAATGACAATGAACACGGCCATGTCAGGGGATTTTTAAACTTTATTATGATAAATAAATTTTTAAACATCCCTGTAGTACGTTTCCGAAAGGATACAGTGTCTTTTAACGATCATTGTGTTTAAATACAATGTAAGTAGCGCAAGTAATTCAGAGGTGAAAAACGCGCCTGGTTTTCGACAAGCAATTGTCACGAGCTACCTTTCGGACAGCTTGTTTTTCACATCAATTAACCTAATCCGTGGGTTTCAAAATGCTTTCTTGATGCTGATTGTCTTCAATACACCTGGATTCAGCTCTTCCATGAATACAAACGAACTTATTAACGCAAAATAGACCCTAATAATAATTCTAATGACTTTCTACCCTAATGAATCAAATCAAAGCTTGAAAATCACCTTTTCCATCCATATCAAATGTGATACATCTTAGAATACTATACTATACATTCAAACTTATTGCATTGCTGCAGTAAAAAAACCTTTTATTTCGATGTAAATACGAATCGTACATTCATTTTCGAATCATGGGTTGTTTTTACCGTCTGGTCTGTATCCTGTTGAGATTTTAAATTAATTCAAATCAATTTGTCTTTAAAAGAAATTGCTCAGTTACTATATCGATGGATTGGGTACTAGTATCACATGCACCTGTTCTCGGAAACACTGTTGACCAACGTTGACCTAGTTTCCAGGCCCTTATTCCTGTGTTTCAGAAAAAAGGCTTGTGAACGAGTCTGACTTGATCACTGCTGGGCGACATCCTTCATCTGTACAACGTCATACCGCAAAAAAAAAAACAAAAAAAAAACGAGAAATTTACCTCCATCTTCCTCAAATCTACCTATACCATGAAGGACCATGAAGATTGGTGCGAATTTCTCAAAACGAAACAAGATGGTGCCGGACAAAGAACCGTCAGTTTTAGCATTTTCTTAATGGACATTTTTTAAGGATTGAATCTTAGCATTGGTTATGGTAAGCATTATATCACAATGAATCACAAGTTCTCGTGTGACCTCATGTCAAGCTTTAACTGAACTAACCGGTCTTGAAAGATAAAAATGTTTCAGTCTAGTGTGTAAAGAACAAAACATATAATTGGCAAATAATACATTAAAAGTTAATCCTAAGTCCATTGAAGTATCATCAAAAGAAATTTTTCATTCCTCTCAGTTTTCACCACGCAAATTATTTGCTCTCAATATTCCACTTTCAAATTCAAAACGAATAAGCGCTGTTTTATTTGACATACCTTACACCAATCACAAAAGAGAGCACGAGAAAATCAGATCGCTGTCACAATGCCCTTGAAAATTTGCATTTTTTCCAGATTGAGGCATATTTCCAAATGGCCTAAGTTTAAAGCTTTCTCTAAATACAGGGTTAGCCTCAACTCGGGGAAAATGAAATTCGTACGGCTATTGTAATTACAACTCAACAATTTTTCGTGCTCTCTTTTGTTGTTTTCGGTAAGGTCTTTGCGCGAAAGAATACATTGTTAAATATAACAGCGGTTGTCGATTTGAAGTCAAAAATCAGTGGAGTATTAGCAGTACATTTATTGTGATTCGGATCAGATGATGATAATTTCACTTTTTATTACTTACAAATTTCGTTTTACTATTTTCATGACACGAAAAGATTTGCAACCATTTAAACATGTTACGAATAAATTTTGGTAAGTAACTTACACAAATAGCAACAATGCTTGATGATGTTTTATTTATCAGCATGACGCAACCAAAATGTCTGCGTCGTAAGTCTCAAAAAAAGCAAAGTATGTTTTTAATGGYCAATACTGAAACATTTTTGCAGCATTCAGGAAAATCTCTTCTGTAAAAACCTCAAAATCTTTGTCGCCTTTATGTAGGAATTTGGGGGGGTACCAATACGGTTCGAACACAGCGTACATTTGTTTAAGCCACAAAAACAAAGAATATCTTAATTACTCTTTATGATGCTTTGTATTCTGGAYTTATTGTGATATTCAAGTATTTAAGAGTGTATTGTATGTTATAACATCAAAGTTTTATCCTCGAGGCCAGACAGAATAGGCGTGAAAAGGGGTTTAGTCCATTTTCCATCTTATCGTAATTGACACGAGAAACCATCTTTTGTTTGTTAATGCTATAATATAACAATAATAAGATAGTAATAYTATACAACTACTTGAGCTATGATCACAAACGATACTTACCAAATCAGTTCTTCTAGTTGTGAAAAGGGGAAGGGTTTTCTTCTGGTATTTCATTACCCTATGACATGAATCGTTAAARGTTTCGAGTGCCTCTGCYACATCTGCCTCAGGCGCGCATGCAAAGGAACCAAAACCAGAACCAAAGCAACCTGAAGGATGCAGCCAAAAGCTTAACCAAAACTTCGCTAATGTTCACTTGTCTTTGGGTCTTGCTCGTCAGCACAGCAAACGTCTTGAGAACTGCARCAGTGTGGCCAGTTTGGACTAGAATTTGTTTCATATATAACTAAATTAACAAAGTCATCTGCAAAGAAMTGTAAGTGAAATTTGTAATGCAGATGCTATATCAATTCAGCTGGCAACAAACCGACCAAGCGATAACACATAAAATAGTTTATCTATGAAAGGGGTTAATGTGTTCACGGCAGGGTTGCCGAGTGCTACGAGAAAGTAAGAGSAGATAATCGATCTACCACCCACTAGAAAAATGGCGACACACACCACAACCGCGTAATTTTCCCCTAAATATGGATTTAGAATCTGTAAACTACAATCAAATGATCGTATTTTTAATTCGAAAATTGTTACTTCAATTCTATTATTTAGCTGTATTGTGTTCTGCTCTGAGCCTCACGGAAAGGCAGGGAAAAAGCAAAAACAATTGCTATTAATAAATGATGCGCCTGTAGACAGCTTTTAGTCAACTTTGGCTTCGAGGCAGGGGGCAAAAAGGAATTTTTAAACTAATTTTGGATATCTTATAAGAGCACTTTGTGGATTGGTCCAATTTCGGTAAAGTATAGGGCAAACGACCGCAAGTTGTATCAACATGTAAATAATGCAAAGGAAGGAAAAATAGTGAAGAGGAGGATCGGGAAAAATAAAAAATAGAATGACATACAGCAACCATGTAAAATCTACTGAAATACTAAAAGAAGCATGAATAGCATGTCAATAACAAACAAAAAAGGAAAACAAGAAACAGACAACCCCTCCCCCCCTAAAATAAGAAGACAAGGAAGTCAAAAATGCCAAACAAATGCAGCCACAAAACAGCGTGGGCAGAAAAAAACAAAAAATTCTGAAAATGAGGATAACGAACAAATGAACGATAACTTAACAAAGAAATCATCAAGTTCATTGTAAAATTCTGATCAAAGAAAAGTGCATCAATATTTGTACTTTGGTTGGTAACGGCCGATWTTTGTATATGATAATTACAAGACAATTAAGACTCAGCATGGACWATACTACTAAATGAAGTAATAAACTAAATAAAGTAATAATGTAGAAGATTGACTGTCGACTGAAGCTTTTATTGATTAGAGAAGATATCGACGATATCTCCTCTAATCGTTGATCGATTAAGTGTAATCCAGAATCCTT